GTTGCATAGTTTAAAAAATGTAAAAAGTGTTGTAATTTAAAATCCCATCCTACACTAGTTACAAATCGATTTCAGAAGGTGTTTAGGGTTTTAAGATTATTATATTTAGATTCTGGGGAGGGGGAGAAAAAGGTTTGTGTTCAAAATATAAAGAAAGAATTTATTGCACGAGGATTTTGACTTTCCGGAAATATCCAATAAAAGTTTTAGAAGTTTTCTTTCATGCGATGTTTGATGAAAATTTGAATTGTTAAATTGTCTGTGTATATGTCTGTGTGTCTGCGGGGTCACAGTATAGTTGGTTCATGTTGAAAATCTTCAGTAATTATAAAATGGCCAATTGTGTAATTTTGCATTTTTATTTGCAATTTTTTTCAAAGATGAAAAATGGCCATACCTTATTATTGCAAAGGACCTGTTGCAATTTGGTGTTTAAATCAAGAAAAACATTTCAAACTGACTTTATGTTTGTTTATTTCAACCATTCCAGCTCATCAAGACAATTGTTGAGTGTTGAGTATAATATCGTCCAATAAAACCAACCTAAGTATGATTAGCTTCAACCTTCTTTACGATTTAAGCATGGAGATAATAACATAGAAGAAGATTTTAGTATAATTATTGGAGGAAAAGGAATTAATTACTCTCATCATACTCTAATTTTCTAGACCTTATATCTTTACCACTTTTTGATATGACATGTAGTCTGCATTAGATCAATTAGTTAACAGAATATTTTATTTCTTGTTTACAGGCTGGGTGTCTAATTTGCATAGCCCTCCCCCCCCCCCTCCAGAAAAAAGGCCTCACAGTAAAGGTATAGAGTAATTGCAATGTTCATAGCCCAATTTTCATTGAAAATAAATAGAACGCTAACATTCATAGTTTACGTACTAGGAAGGTTTGAAAAAAAATGCCAAAGAAAGAGGTCGGACAAATATTAAGATGTAACACATGTACGTTTCTACATCCATTTTCAAGGGCTTTTCAAAAATGTAGTTTATAGATCTGAAGACACAGAAAGGTATGGACTATTTTTGATTTTTTTTAACACGAACTGGACTTTTACCGCCCTGTATCATACTCTATGTATTAAAAAAAAAAACAATTTACAAAAAATGCTTTATCCACCTGTTTAGGGTTAATGATTTGACAAATTTTGTATTGCCGTGAACACTAACAGTCCTGTGGGTATAACCGATAAAGCTAATATATAATAATATGATTTATTTAAATAGATAAATAGACATAAAACAAGATGGATTGATGGAAATATAGAATACCCAGTATTCAAGCTTGACAAATGTGTTGTTGGGCACCTATATATATAAACTAGGGCGGGGCACTTGCAACAGAATAGGGGGCGGGACCTAATCAGTTCTCAGGGCCGAATACGACCCTTATACTACCCCTTAACTCAGAATCTTCAAAATAAAACAAGACAAAAGTAAAATACAGATTATTTTTTTTATTTTGGGACCATTGTATGTATTTCAAACCGTACTAGAGAATGTGATTGAAATACCACACACGTTTTGTCAAAAAAAAACATAAAAAATCTAAACCCTCTTAAAGGGAGTGTTCGCGAAAATGAAAGGGGGTATAGGCTTAATGCGATAAAAAAGCGCTTTTTATCGCTACTAATCTTACTTCTATCTGTTGCGTCCATAAGGAGAAAATTATTAAAGACGTCTCATACCGAAGAACGTAGCGCCCATACAAATTGAGAAAATTGCAACGTACGACTTATTAGACCGTAAAAAAAAATCAATTTAATTTCAAACAAATCATTAAGATATTACAACCTATAGTCATCGATTATCTTTCGCCACATTTGTATATAGTTTATATTTTTTAATATTTTTAACTAATTTGATTTGAATCTGATTATTTCTCTTGTCGCTCGCACAACTATCTAAGAATGCCGCGCACCACTCCCATTTTTCAAAATCCGTTAAAAACGTTCTATAAAAATATGAAATATAAAAATGATATTAAAAAATCTAAACATTTTTGTTCTTCTCAATAGCCAAGAAGAGGAGTTATTACGTTTGAAAAATATAAGATTTCATTCTTCCGTGCAAATTTTTGAGTATTCTGTTTGATATTTATATTGATTATAATCCAATATGGTTTGGGATGCACTGTGTTAAGTGCCCCCCCTCCTCCTTCATCTCCCTAGGTCTATTAGAGGTAACCAGCTGATTTAGTAACATGACTTTTATCATGTTTCAAAGATGATGATGTTGCGTAGATGACCGCTCAGCCAGCAGTATAAAAGAAAATATTGAACAAGGATTACTTAGTTGATGACGAAGTCCGAGGGAGAGGGTATCAACTCTTTTCTACACCTTCTACTCCAAGAAGGAGAAAGAATGGGTCAGGAATATAACATGAACCATCATTTGGACTTGACCCCTGAGAGAGAGCCTATAGTCTGCAATCTATGTAGTGGTAAGAGGCGACTGTCCAGAGCCGTAAGAAGCAAGACCAGAGTCCAGAGAGAGTCTAAAGTCTGCAAAAGAATCGGTGTGAGGCAGGGTCTAGTGCTTATTGTCGAGACCAGAGGCCAGGGTCAAGAAGGGCGTCCTCCAATTGACCTTTTAAGTAGAATTGTAACATTTACCCTTTTTAACATGTTATTGCAATATAATCTTGATATAACATTGCCTCTAATTTATTGTCGAAAAAATTAATACATCTGATTTTAGCCGACTGTAAAGATAGCCATAGCTATAGAAGATAAAATATGGTTAGCCTAGCTATATAGATAAAATATGGTTGGCTAGCTATATAGATAGAACATGGTTAGCTAGCTATATAGATAGAANGCTGTTTTCTGCTGAGGTCACTACATTTAGCGAAATCTGTTCTTTATCTTTTTTATCTTTTTTATCTTTATAACTTTCTTTATGTTATTATTCATTGGGTCTTTTGCAATATGACTTCTAACAGAAATTTCAAGGATTTAAAGGAACTGTCGACGTGCTTAAAGGAACTGTTGACGTGTTTGAAGGGACTGTCGACGTGTTTAAAGGGACTGTCGACGAAATTTAAAGGGACTGTCGACGTGTTTGAATGGACTGCAGACATGAGTAGACTTTTATAAAGGTGGCTGGGGTATTGACACTTGCTTTAAAGGGACTGTCGACGTAATTTTAAGTGACCCCTTAATGTAAAAAATTTTAAGAGCTACATGTTCGATTACCAACACTTCTCTTTTAGCATTTGTAGGTTGAAGAAAAAACTCTAAAGAAAAACTCTAAAGTAAAAACTCTGAAGTAAAAGCTCTGGAGAAAAAACTCTGAAGAAAAAACTCTGAAGTAAAAACTCTAAAGAAAAAACTCTGAAGAAAAAACTCTGAAGAAATCTATAGTTCTTCCGGATTAGTACAATATACTACAAAGGCAAGGAAGCAAAATTATTCATTCTCTTTTATGAGCTAGGAACTTTAAAATGGTGGATATCGAGATCAATGCTTGATCCTCTCTCTTTCTTAATCTCGATACTAACCTAATCTTGTATCCTGAAAAGTGTATACAATTCAACCAATCAGAGTCACGTATCAGAATCCGGGAATTTTGAAATTTGCGCGCCATTTAAGATTAACATACAGAAACGCAAGGTACTCTCTAACTTAGAAAAACCGGTTTTTGATTTTTCTTTACTATATCCAAAAAAAGTGGATTTAGCAAGAAATTAAAAGTGTCCACATTGGATATTCGGATTAAGCAGTCTGGATCAAAGGTATCCCATTCCCAGCTCAGGATGCATAAATGCGATAATAACATCTTTTAGATAAAATTCTAGAGGGTACTGTTGTTAATCTAGGATATAATTATTGGAAAATTCTTAAAGGATTCGAACTTCAAAATAAATTTTTCTTCTCTTTTTATATCAAAGGTTTTCCTGAACCATGATTAATAAGAAACTGCTTTCTAATTGTATTCGTCGATTAATAATAAATCTTATGATCGAGTTCCACAATGGGGGATTAGTTTAGGAAAGTCAGTCCACTCAAAACTTGACACTCTCTCACCCTAAATAATGCGCACAGTTAAAAAGGAATTGAGTCTTCGCCACAAACTCAAATTTTCTATTCCCTATATCTTTCGAACCTGATGGTGTACATCTTTAATATTTCATGCTTAGATTATTAGATTTAGCAAAGGTCTTCGACATTGGGTGCAGAAAATTCGAGTTTGTGGCAAAGGCTCAATTTCTTTCAATCCAATGTTTCTGATTTAATATATATATAGAGAGAATCAAGGTATTGTACTTGAAACGTTGAATCAGATATATAGATATTGACGATATTTTTCCAGGGCAAAAAAAAACATGAAAAGTTTGTTTAATTTAAAAATAGGAACAAGTATTTTTTCACTCTATGAGTCTATATACTCTTTAACTGCAGCACTTTGTACCAAAAATTAAGGTACTATGTTTCTTTATAATTTTTTAGATTCTTTCTATTCGATCGTTTCTGGGGATTGCTAATATATTTTCCGAATCTATATTTTTCTATCTCAGTGAGAGAGACTCAAAGTTTATTTACAAGGTTTATTGTTACTTCATACTTCATGTACATCCAGTTATACACTGTTGCAAAATACAAAGTTTATATAGACAACGCCAATATTCGCAGATAAGGTGTGTTTAGCTAGGCCTGAATATAGACTGAAAAGAGCTTGGTATATATTAACAAAGAACAAGAATAAGGCTGAAATATTTGATAATAATTAAAACATATTTTTACCATTCTAAGAACAAAATTTAAATCAAACCATTTTTTTGTGCAATTATTATTAAAAATTGGCACAACTTAGGTTCTAATTTTGCAAAATGGTAGAAAAGAACAATATAAAAATAAAAAGATAAAATCAAATCATTTATCATTAACACATTTATTTATAGTACAGAACTAGATTCATTGTTGTTTAGAAAGGCACTGCCATGGTTAAATGAGGAAAATATATTTATTGTCAGTCCGACCAAGTCAGCTTTCTGGGCTTGTAATAATTATATTTCCTAGTTTCAGATTGAAAATAGAGTTTGGATGGATTTGAGAATGCATCGGCTAGTTCTTGGATTAGCTGTGATAACAGCAATCAAGGGCAGTTGATACTATAGGTTTTTAAATTATTAAACAATTGTTCATTTGTAATTTTTGGGAAATTTTAGATAATGACATTTACTGCAAACTAGAAAGAAAGAGAACGTCAAATTCATGTGACATTACCATTCTAAGAAGTGGTTCAACTTAGTCTTCATAGTTCAACTACTTCTTGCTATCTGATACCAGGATATAGACGTTTACATAGACATTATTACCATTCTAAGAAGTGGTTAAACTTAGTCTTCATAGTTCAACTACTTCTTGCTATCTGATACCAGGATATAGACGTTTACATAGACATTATTACCATTCTAAGAAGTGGTTCAACTAAGCCTTCATAGTTCAACTACTTCTCGCTATCTGATCCCGGGGTATAGACGTTTACATAGACATTATTACCATTCTAAGAAGTGGTTCATCTTAGTCTTCATAGTTCAACTACTTCTTGCTATCTGATCCCTGGGGTAGACGTTTACATAGACATTATTACCATTCTAAGAAGTGGTTCAACTTAGTCTTCATAGTTCAACTACTTCTCGCTATCTGATACCAGGATATAGACGTTTACATTGACATTATTACCAATCTAAGAAGTGGTTCAACTTAGTCTTCATAGTTCAACTACTTCTTGCTATCTGATCCCTGGGGTAGATGTTTCATATTATTAGAAGCAAACCTAAAAGTAACATGATCAGGCGTGTGATCCTGAAACCACAGGACAATGGAACAGGGAGAATATAAGACAAAGGTAAAAAGTGTGAAAAATGTAAAATTAATTCGAATAATATTTACAAACTATTTAGCCTGCAGCAATGGTGGAAGGAGAGAATTACATCTGGCGAAAATATTTTTTTGTTTGATTTGAACAACTCGAAATTGTTTCCGTTCTACCAGGGATTCTGGGAGAATCAAGATGAACGAGTGATTACTCTAAAGAATGAGAAACTGTCTCAAATAGTTTGGCAGTGGGTTGGACGATTGCCAAGTGATGGTTTTATATATGGAGATTTGAGTTTATTAAAGAATAAGTATGGAAATTATACTTTTATCTATCCAGATCTGAAGACGGGATTACAGGTTCGTATTAAAGGGAAAATTTAAATTTTCAAAACTATTTCATGCACGGGTTGTATGAGGGGAGGAAGGCCGAGTCACATTCTACTCATTTTCTCGTCCGAGCCACCTCGAATCCTCTTCCTTCGAATATTATCTTTTTAAAGTGTTCAATTCTCCAAGATAAAACAATTTTTTAAGAATTCAGCCACGTTAGAGCATTAACGAAATATTACATTTTTGTAAATAGAAAGAAATACTTTCAATAGAATTTAAGTTTTTGAGTGCAACGTCCGGACAAATATTCACCTTTTTTACGCTGATTTTCAGATAATCTGGGGAAAATGATGGGCAGAGGTATGCCAAATATTTTTCTATTTATTTTATATCACGAAGGTTTGCCATTACGGAGGCAGAAGAGATTTAAGTTTCCTAAATAAAGTTTGACATCATTCCCACGGTTTTTAGATTTTTAAACGATAGCTTTATCTTCAAGATTTAGAAACTTAAAAACACATAATAAGCGAAGGACGAGGATTTCGAGGTGGCTCGGACGAAAAAATTAGGAGAATGTGGCTTGGACGAGAAATTGTTGTGGCTGGCCTTCCTCCCCTCGTTATATAATGTCAAAAACTGTTGAGACATTTTTTATAGTGGGGCTATTAAAACTTTGAACTAGGAAGACGACATTTAATCAGTCGTCAGAGAATTTGATGTTGTAAACTTATAAAACAAATCATTTTACCATAAGCTTGAAAATCAACTGCTGTGTTTCATGTTAATTGGAATATAAAATATCATTACTTGATTCAAACAGTCGTATTCTCCTTCTACAGTATATATTCATCATTTATATTTGTCTAAAGCAAAATTACATTAAACAATATAAAAGTTTACAATTTAGTACTAATACTCTTTTCTCTGGATATCACATTTTATAGTTGACAGGGTTTGTAAAAAAACAGGTGCAATACAAGACTTTTAGCATGAGTATAGTTTAGGTATTCACTATTCAGAGATGGTTTTCAGAAATGGAGTTTCTTGCTCCCAGTCAAGCGTTTTTCGTTTTCTAAAAATGTTTTGTAGGTCCCACAGAAATGTCTGATCTAATAACGAACTATTATTTAACTTTAAAACATTGAAAACAAGCATTTTTTTCAATTTTCTACAACAAACAAAATGTCTAAAGTTCTTATTTGTCCTTTAACTAGAAAAACTTTTTGTGATGTTGTTTTGTGATCTGCAAAAAACTACTTTTATCTTTATGATTTGAAAAATAACATTTGCATCAGAGAATTTCCAAAATTCGAAGTAACATGACATCTACTGCGAACATAACTGAATCCTCTAGTTTCCGTTTTCCAGCATGTTGTATGGAACTGGTATGTTCTATTCAAAACAGTATTAATTAAACTTTCATCTGATCAAGGATGAATGAGAATTCTTTCTATAGCTGAGAATCGATTTTTTAAATTGTGGTTCTTCTCTTTAAAGTCACTTGCGCGTATTTATGCTTCAGAAACAATGAAGACAGTTAACAGATTTCAACCTTATTATATCTTCCTCATCGTTACTCAGATAGAGGTTAACGGGTACCGGGCTCAATCGGACATGTCACGTTTTTGGAGCAACTTATAATTTTAGGGATATTTTGTGAACAAAGAGTTCCAATATGGTGAGGAAGTAAAGGTGAGAGGAGAAAGATGCCGGAATGGTGTCAAGGAACTAGAACTTGTGGTTCAACACCCGCAGATTATTTGGAGAAGAGAGATTCAAACTCAAAATAATATTGGATCTCAACGACAAAGGATGGATCCTCATGAGCGGAGATCAGTTTATATTGGAGATTCAACCATTCCTGGGGCAGGGGAAGGAATATTTGCAAAGCGGAGGTTTCAGCCAAATGATTTAATTTCTTATTTCGGAGGATTAAAAACTTTTAAAGAAAATTTTCTTTTTCAAAATATGACAGATAGTGAATTAGAAGATGCAGGATCATATTTTTATAATTTTGGTGTCAACTGTCCTTCACATTGGAATATAAATATTGATCTTGTGATTGATACACCTCATCCATACAGAAATATTGTTCAATACAGAACAACTCTAGGACACAAGATCAACCATGCTTTCCCCTTGAGTAAGATAAAGAAGTATCAGAAGAAGCAAAATATAAGCAAACTTGCTTCTAACTTCAGAGTTGAAAATGCCAGGGATATCCCTTGTATTCATCCTTTCCTAGGGAAACTAATATGTTTAATTGCAGGGATGTGCTTCGTAATTTTATTTAGATTAATCATATTATTACAAATAAAGATTTTTAATTAAATCTAAATTCTAATTTTAAATGTATTGTGCAGGCTACCAAATGGTACAAACCATTGATATTGCAAAGATTTAAAGATTAGAAAAAAATAATATTTAACAAGTTTCTTTGAATAGTTTACGATATAATCACTGATAAAAATGTTCTAGGTTGCGGTTGCGTTGGTATATTTACTACATGATAAAATGATATTTCGAATGCAACAGTTACCAAATCCTCATTTTCCGTTGGGAGTTCACTACTGTGCAGCAGCAAATTTGTAGATCCATGTTTGTATCAGTGCTTATATTGTAAACTATAGTCACCATTCCAGACCCAAAAGATTAAAAGAAATTATTCTATAGGTGCTCACATGAACATGCATGTCTTATCTAAATTCATGACATATTTTCATGCCACAAACACTTTTTATATACGACACTGGAATATGTTATTTACAAGCACATTGTTTAACAGTCAGTAATATCGAAAAACATGAGGAAGTTTTCTATAATTTTAGATACTCGTAAGTATTGGTTTTTGTATTTTTTATTCTAATCAGACATATAAAATTTAAAATATTTAAAAGAATTGATTCTTTACCACAAACTCAAAGTTTATAATACCTTTATCTTTGCAACCTGATGGTGTAAATCTTTAATATTTCAAATTTAGATTACTAGGCTTTTAGGGCGTTTCGCGCCCATCTTCTATTTAAATTGTGAACATGTTCTTTTTGTTTACATTTTAAAACAAAGAAGAAAAATTTTTTGCGGATTTTTAAAAAAAAATTTGCAGATTTTCAAGAATTTAAATTTTTTCACAAAATTAAAAACCTTTAAAACACATTTTTAAAAAAATTTTATCATTCATAAACCTTCCCTGTGGTCACGTGATGTCCCACAAAAAATTTGGGCCCGATCGGTTCAGTCGTTTTGACGTTTATTGGATACAAACAAACAAACAGACAACCAGACAGACAAGCCAAATTTACATATAGATTTTATTTCACAGAATGTATAGTTCACAAAGATTCAAATCGAATAACATAATAAGTTTTTTTAATCTATATATAAATTTGGCTTGTCTGTTTGTTTGTCTGTTTGTTTGTTTGTAGCCAATAAACGTCAAAACGGCTGAACCGATCGGGCCCAAATTTTTTGTGGGACATCACGTGACCACAGGGAAGGTTTATGAATGATCTAAATTTAAAATATTTGTGTCCATCAAAATTCGATCTTCATTAAATTTTTGAAAATTTTGAAAATCCACGAAATTTTTTGTGAAAATCCGCGAATTATTTTTGTTTTGTTTTACGATGTTCACAAAGAGAACATGTTCACAATTAATTTAGAAGATGGGCGCGAAGGCTAGAAAGAAGGGCGCGAAGCGCCTTGAATTTCTAGTAAATTTAAATTATTGAACTTGATTTTAGAATGGCTAATGCTCCAGAATGGTATATCAAGGATTTTCAAGCAATTTTCATCGAAGACCAAAACTGAAAAGCCTTCTTGGTAGCTCTTGGAAAACTGAAGTCTGTAAATATAGAACAATTTTTATTAGATATTTTGTCCAAAGGATTTGAATGTCACATCCTTGAATTGAGTGTTGAAGAATAAAGGCGGTATAAAGAGTATGTTTTTTAATCAAGGTATTTTGGCAGTTTGTTACTTTTCAAAATTGTATTCTCTACTAAGGGAATTAGGAAAAAATGTTGTTTCGTGTTATTATAATACCCTGACCACGCAATTTAAAAGACGGCTAGGGAGAATACGGCTCTGGTCTAAGCTGTCGTTGGACCTTATTTACGGCTTGAGATTTCGGATTCAAGCTGCATCTTATTTTCCACCTAGTTGAGTTCAAAAAACCGGTTTAATATTCTATTTGGCGGATTTTCTTGGTAGAAATTGCAGCATTCTCAGTTTTATTAGAACAAGACTCAATATTGAGCCTTATTCTCCACTAAAACCAACCAAGATCGGTTTTATTTTCATTGAGCCTAGCTTCTTAAGTCGAGCCGAAAATCTTGCAGCTGTCAATCACTTGACACAAGCTGTCGTCAGAATTGGGTCAAAGATTGGGTCTAAAAGTCTGGTTTAAGGAATTACAACTCGAGCCGAAGTTTTTAAATCGCGGGCTCAGGTCAGTTTAGTTTAAGAGAGAAGGTAGTCGCGCGAGGAGGGGGGGGGGTCCAAATCACTGAGATGTTTCCAACATTTATGTTCCAAAAGAAAAGAAAGAAACAATGGATAGTTTAGCAAGCAACGCAAGAAAACTAGATAGACAAGCAGATAGTAGAGAAGGAAGTTATAATTTCTACATCCTGTATAATAGGGTTGCAACCAATTATCTGTTTCGGAGAAAAACATGTAATTTACAAATCATCAGGCGGTTGTACACATATAATAGGCTTCCGACATGTTTTAACCGTGGCAAGGGAGATTCATCAAACAGGTTTATGTATCTCAATGTATCCCATAGACTAGACCTGAATGCTCCTGTATCTCAATGTACCCCCTAGACCTGTAAGCTCCTGTATCTCAATGTATCCCCTAGACCCATGTATGCTACTGTATCTCAATGTATCCCCTAGACGTGTATGCTCCTGTATCTCAATGTATCCCCTAGACGTGTATGCTCCTGTATCTCAATGTATCCCCTAGACGTGTATGCTCCTGTATCTCAATGTATCCCTTAGACCAGTATGCTTGTATCTCAATGTAATGTGATTGGCTGATTTTTGGTAAATAATAATTTGGTAACTAACATTTTGGAAACTAACATTTTGGTAATTAACAATTTGGTAACTAATAATTTGGTAACTAACAATTTGGTAACCCTATAAAAAATATCGTCATGAACCCTATATCTGTAAACCTGAACATACATTGTACATTATTAAGTAACCTAACTACCCCCTCTGTAAATTAACTGCGTCTGTAAATAACTAGGTAAACCCTATATCACAATTTAGCTTAACTACGTTGTAAATAACTAGGTAACTTGTAATTATGTTGAATAATCTAACCTATATCATAGAACTCAAAATACATAGTAGTTGGAATAATACTCCACTTTGATTACGGTGTTAGAGTAATTGTTTCTCGTTTAGCGAACGAGAGGGATCCTGAATTACTTTCTTGAAAGATGGTTAAAGATTGGGAAATTGAAGTGAATTGTATCTTGTAAGTCAGATACCTAAGAAAACAGACTGAGTCGTATCCGGATTGATATTGACTATGGTATTACTGATGAACCTTGAGTTCTAGATTGAGTTGTATCCAGATTGATTTAACTATGGTATTACTGAGGAACCTTGAGTTCTAGATTGATTTGTATCTTGTAAGACAGATACCTGAGAATACAGATAGAGTCGTATCCGGATTGATACTGACCAAGGTATTATTAAAGATCCTGGAATTCGAGATTGAATTGTACCTGGATTGGAACTGATCTAAAAGTATTAATTGGAGTAGGGCATTTACTACAACCCGACAATTTGGTAACCCAAAATTTGGTAACCAAAAATTTGGTAACTTGACATTTTTTTAACCTGACAATTTGGTAACCCGACAATTTGGTAACTAAAAAATTGTATGTTTTGCAATCAATGTTTGTATATGTATTTGTTAAATAGAGAGAGAAAAAAATAATATGCAGGATTTCTTAAATGCATTGCAAATCCGCAAAAAATGTTTGTATACTCGGCCCCCTAGCCTGTCCTAACCTAACCCCACATTGCAACTAACAATTTAGTAGTTTTTATAAATATGGCCGCAGTGCTTGGCCCCTGGCCTGTCCTAGCAGCAGCGCTTTGTCCGGATATCGTCTTAACATAACATAACCAAATTGTGAGGTTACCATATTGTTAGTTACCAAATTGTGAGGTTACCAAATTGTAAAGTAACCAAATTGTAAAGTTACCAAATTGTAAAGTTACCATATAATCAAGTCACCACATTTGTGTTACCAAATTGTGAGGTTACCAAATTATCAGTTAACAAAAATCCGCCCATTCTCAAAGTATCCTCTAGACCTGTATGATCCTGTATCTCAATGTAATCTCTAAGCCAAAAAGTCCATGAAATCAAGATTATTTGATTTAAAACCCAAAATAGCGATTCAAAAGTCCAGCCAAAAAGTTGTGTTTTTGGAATAAATCATGTGAAAATATCTTTACGTGTTGATTAATAAATTTTAGGCAAATGCCTGTTTTTTTGCTTTAATTTCGTCCAAGTTGAACACAAAGAAAAATTATTATCATCAGTTGAAGCTACAGATTAATAAAATAACAGATAGGACACTAGATGTCGTCGTAGAACAAGACAGAGAACGAGCCTGTTCTACTCCCACTACGTGTAACTCCTTTGGGCTTCTGCCTCAGAGTTATTGTGAACGAAACAAACATAAATCTATGAGTTGAAGTGTGTTGATAGGTTTGGTGATAAAGTAATCTAATAAGGTTAGATTTCCTAATAACCTTAATCTTGAAAACGTATTTAACAACTAAAGACCAATAGAAAGGATTTTAAACATCAAAACTATTTTCATTCAAATCAAATATTCTTTTAGAATTTTCCCTATTCTGTTATTTGAGATGTTATGAATGTCAACATTTGTGGTTCTAGTGTAAATAGGATGAAAGGGGCGGGGAACAGGGGCTTATTGTTAATAATTATATTATATTTATCCTACTACTTATATATTAACAAAAGATCTTGTTAAATTAACGGTTTCTGCATTCTTTCTGATAAATCTAGCAGTACTAAACTCCATACACGGTCTTTCTTTTTAATATCTATAATTAGATTTTATTCTTCAGTAATATTTAGTACCCTAGGTTTCCTTATATTTAAATCCCAACCTCTACCCCCCATTACCACAATTCATGATCATTTGCATATTGCAAAGTTCCAAGTAGCATCTACAGAGCGTCCCATATCATATTAGTTATCTCCAATCTTTAACACCTAAATACGCACATTATACTAAAAAAATCTAGTATTTTCTGCAAAAAAATTTCTATTAGCCTTATAAATTTTTCAAAATGGTTCATTCTTCTTAAATTTTCTAATTTGTCCCCCAAATCGTAAGTTAGACCCATTGACGCGGTCTAATTTGATGTGGGACACCCTGTATATCCCCGTTTATTAACCCCCCCCCCCGGTCCCATTAACGCGTCTGTATACACTTCACATATCAAATAAATAAAAACCTTTCACTTTGCATAAACATTAGCATCTTCATAAATTTGTTTCATTCTCACATTAGACAAATAATATTGCCCTCTAGACAACTACAGAAGTCAGTCATCAAATTTTAGACAGCCTTTACTTTAAAGGGTCGCCACGGCTTGGACTTTGGTATAAAGACACTTTTGATTTTCATAGCCCTAGGTAAATACATTCTAAAACAACAATGTCTTGTTTCTAGCTTAAGCGTAAAAGGAGTAATTGTCTAAATAAGGTAATAAGTCGTTAAATTTAGCATGGATCAATTAAAACTGATGTTCCTTAACTTTGAACCAAGAACATATTCAGATATACCTTCGAGTTTTTTAGTAAGAAAGTACATTGTAAAAGGCATAAAAAAAAGATTGTAGAATACACTTAAAGGATATTATATACAAAGTAGATAAATAATTAGATTTTGATAAGAAATAACACGAAGAAATGAAAACAAGTGTAAGTGCTAATACATATAGGGAGACGACACCAAACGCAGTCAGCTTAGTTTTGAAAAATTAAAGCAGTGCTTTTAGAAAAGTTGTAACTTTCTATTTAGTACTTTTGAAATCGTATAATAGTTTAAAGCGCAAAGAATAAAAAATTCAAAATTCAAAGAAATTATTTTTTATTTGAAAGAGTAACAAACTTAAATGTAGAACTAGAATCCCTTATCAAATAATGCTGCATTGTGTAGATATATATATATAACTTTGTCTCAACAGCTAATCAATGGTATGAGAAGTGTACTGTCGAGTATACAGTATTATGACAGAGGGGATACTTCGTATAATACAGGGGATTTACTTCTCCATTTGCAAATTATTTTCTGGTCTTCAACCCAATTTTATTTTCTCATAATACAGATATAAAACGTAAACTTTTCTATAAAGCAACGAGCTATATGTTCAAACATTTAATACTTAAAAATCACTTTTGTATTTCATCAATTATTGGGGAGTATCATGTGCCGTCTATGGAAAATTTGACATAAATATTAATATTGAAAATGTACAAAAAAAACTTAATTCATAGCTCTCTGTATATTCGTAGCTTTCTATCCCTTCTTTATAGAATCTACGTCATTGAACATAATAAAAATCCCAGCATCACAAATTACTTCAATAATTCCCCCTATATTTCCTTTGATATAAGTCTGAAAGTACGTTATCTTGTTTACAATTCTTCTGCTTTGTTCCATAACCAAACTTTGCCAGATTTAAACAGAGAAACTTAAATTCTATCTTTCTACGGAGTTTTCCACTTCTTCATTGCACCATTCCCCATTTTCCCTTTCCACACTCAATTTTACCTCCTCCCCCCCCTTCCCTCGCCCAATATTACGCTCCTTATTTCCCCGGTAAATTCTGCTGATTGAAGTTAATTTCATAATGATTTAGAAACAATTTAGTTTTGAAGTTCAATTTACTGGAAAATGGTTTGTTCAGGCCGGATACTAATCTCGGCTCAATCAAAACTCTCCGGCCCTCCTTCCCCTCCTTCCCCTCCTTCCCCTCCTTTCCCCTTCCCCCTTCATTCCATATTTTTTACTGAACTTTTTAAATATTTTTTTTATTTTCTTATTTAATTTTAAATTTTTTTATGCGTTCTCTATATTTCTGTATCCGGTTCTTTATGTATCCGGTTCTATATGTATCCTGTTCTTTCCGCATCCTTTACTTTCTGTATCCTCTTCTTTCTGTACCCTGGTCTTTCCGTTTCCTTTTCTTTTTGTATACTTTTCTTTTTGTATACTTTTCTTTCTGTATCCTGTTCGTTCCGAATCCTTTTCTTATTGTATCTTTTACTTTCTGTATCCTGTTCTTTCCGTATCTTTTTCTTTCTGTATCCTGTTCTTTCCGTATCCTTTTCTTTTTGTATCTTTTACTTTCTGTATCCTGTTCTTTCCGTATCTTTTTCTTTCTGTTTCCTGTTTTTTCCGTATCCTTTTCTTTTTGTATCTTTTAATTTCTGTATCCTGTTTTTTCCGTATCTTTTTTCTTTCTGTATCCTGTTCTTTTCGTATCCTTTTCTTTCTGTATCCTGTTATATCCGCATCTTTTTCTTTCTGTATCCTGTTATTTCCGCATCTTTTTCTTTCTGTATCCTGTTTTTTCCGTATCCTTTTCTTTTTGTATCTTTTACTTTCTGTATCCTGTTCTTTCCGTATCTTTTACTTTCTGTATCCTGTTCTTTCCGTATCTTTTTCTTTCTGTATCCTGTTCTTTACGTATCCTTTTCTTTTTGTATCCTTTACTTTCTGTATCCTGTTCTTTTCGTATCCTTTTCTTTCTGTATCCTTTTTTTGTCCTCTGGACATTATAATTTTTTTCGCCAGAAATCAGTGAAATGAATTTGTTCCTAATTTTGCTAAGGGTTTTGTATTTGTAATTGATGCAATTGATATATCAATACAATATTTATGGCACTTTTTTAGAGATAGTTCAGTTGCAAATTAAACAATTCTCAGTCACATTTCATAATTTAATAGGAATTTGACGATTGAGAATTCCAATGTTTTCTGGTTCTCATTGTATAACCTTAAACATAAAATTCTATAATCTTCTAATCAAAAGCACGTCATGAATCATAGATATTACTAAACACGTCCGGGATTCACACCGTTAACCAACCAAAGATTTCACTAAAAACGTGCAGGATTCACACCGTTAACCAACCAAAGATTTCACTAAAAACGTGCAGGATTCACACCGTTAACCAACCAAAGATTTCACTAAAAACGTGCAGGATTCACACCGTTAACCAACCAAAGATTTCACTAAAAACGTGCAGGATTCACACCGTTAACCAACCAAAGATTTCACTAAAAACGTGCAGGATTCACACGTTAACCAACCAAAGATTTCACAAAAAACGTGCAGGATTCACACCGTTAACAAATCAAAGATTTCACTAAAAACGTGCGCGATTTGTTAACTTAAACTATAACATTGAGGACTTAAAACGTGCTAGATTTTGAAACTTATATACAGTAAGCATCATACAGCTCTGGAATAGAAATATGAACATGAGACACAGCAATTGTGCAGTGTAAAGCTCAATTGCACTTTACAAATGATTTGATGTTACTAGTATAATATTTACGTTGTAACAGCATGCATTACATACACTCAATTAGTGCTTTAATGTTGTATTAATATTTCACAGTTTTGTGGTTTTCACTGTATGAGAGAAGAGCGTGCCAATAATAACCTTTGGTTCAAAAGTCCCCCATTTCTTGCATTTACCAAAGACCCTCTGTTCCTCTCTATCTCGCAAAATATTTATTTTATATTTTTAGTTCCGCGTATTAAATATAAAAGGTTTATTGATTCAACTTTATCTATAATTTATCTTTATGCATTGATTGTTTTGGCTAGGCGGCAGCCATTGGAGAGTATTAAAGATACTATTTCATATTTAAATTATTGAAGATAAAATCAAATAATACTTTACAAGGTAGAAGAAAATTATCGGCACAAAGCTTAAATATTTTTCTACGTAATTAGATTACTACAGGTTGAAGAATAAGCTCCCAAAATATAATTTTGGAATTTTTTACATTATACAATTGTAAATTTTTGTTCGGTTGTCACTGGGTCATTTTTACTTTACAATTTTCATTTTTACAAAAAGCATTAGTATCAACAACTTTTATGCTATAGATTTATGTACAAGTACAAGTACATCACATATATGGTTGAACCGGTTTTATTGTTTGTTTATTGTGTACTGCACACCAGATGATACATATTCTTGATACCCTAGATCACCTGGCACTTTTCTCCTGAAAAAATAATTTATCTAATTCTGATATCTAGGTTTTACATAAAACATAGTAATTTATCTGATTCTGATACCTAGCTTTTATATAAAACATAGTAATTTATCTAATTCAGATACCTAGCTTTTATATAAAACATAGTAATTTATCTAATTCTGATACCTAGCTTTTATGTAAAACATAGTAATTTATCTAATTCAGATACCTAGCTTTTATATAAAACATATTCATTTATCTAATTCTGATACCTGGCTTTTAAATAAAACATATTCATTTGATATAAAACATATCAATTTATCTAATTCTGATAATCTTTCAAATAAAAATTTAATAATCATCTAATTCTGATACCCTTTCAAATAAAAATTTAATAATTCATCTAATTCTGATACCCTTTCAAATAAAAAATTAATAATTAATCTAATTCTGATACCTTTTTTATAGAAAATATTGTGCTTAATAATCTGAGGTTTAATTAGTGTCAGCATGCAATGTGTATGCAGAGCGAGACACTTGCTCTTGTATATTCCTGTAACACGCAATGCAAAAATGTATATTCGAAATTACGATAATTTTAGAACACTTTCCGAGTTATTCTTAGACATTTTGCATGATAACAGTTGGGTAATTTAAGGTTAAAGTATTAAGGGATAGATGGCAAATATAAAAATAAGAAAATTTTTTGAGTCTTTTTTAAAATTTATTCAAAATTTAAAATTGCAATAAAAAAGCTTGTTAAAATTAACATTATAAATTTCCCCTGCACATATATCAAAACTTCAAAAGAAGCAGTTTCAAAAGTTTGGGATATTAAAACATCGGCTATTTAGATATTTTACAAATCTATTCAGTCTTAAAAAAAATTGATATTTAGTCTTCAGAAATGTTAAAAATTCCATAAAAAACAGTGTATTTTTACATTTACAAAAAAAAATATAAATATATCGTTCCTAATTTCACTTAGATTTTAGAAACTTTTGATTACATTTCCCCTTATGTTTTTTAACAATATCCCATCGCAGAGATGTGTATAAAATGAAGCTGTGAAAAATATGAAAATTTCCTGTGTCACATTTCACAAATATCTTGCTTTAGGGCTTCTTACTAAGATATCAAGCTTAAAATGCAAATGCGCTTAAATTGATGTTTTCCTGAGAAAATCCTGGCTTACAGAGAGGCTTCTTGATAAACTGATAGTTATTATTATAATTATCTACCTAAGGGTTCCTGTTTTAATAGCTAGGCTATGATTGACTGGAAGTATCTCTATGGACTGTTCGCTGCAGGACGACTGGTTGCTGGACGACTGGTGACAGGAGGACGATGAGCAGTGGGACGAATCTGTGCCGGGTTCTCTGAGCTCTCTGATATCGTCTCTTCGTCTCAATCCTTCCTTGAGATCTGTACAGGGATCAGTACTGGATAGATATACTCCTAAATCATTTATCTTTAAATTTTAAATTTTTAAAACTTTAACATTTTCAGAATTTTTCTTTTCATAAATATTTTCATAGAATAACTTCGGTGGACATCATAAATATAGATTGATATATTTAGATAATTTTGGTTGATATATTTAGGTAGATTTGGTTGATATATTTAGATAATTTTGGTTGATATTTACAGAAGCAATTCTAGATAGATTTCTAAATGTCTTTCTTGATATTTCTGAAATATTTCTAACAATATTTGGTTGATATTTCTAGAAATACACCTTCTAAATGTATTCGGCAGATATTTCTAGATAAATCTGATTATTTCTTCTAAAAGTCTTGATGCATTCGGCGGATATTTCTAGATATATCTTGATATTTCTGGATATATCTTGATATTTCAACATATATCTTGATATTTCTAGATTTATCTTGATATTTCTACATATTTCTTGCTATTTCTAAAGATATCTTGATATTTCTAGATATATCTTCATATTTCTACATATTTCTTGAAATTTCTACATATATCTTGATATTTCTGGATATATCTTGATATTTCTACATATTTCTTGATATTTCTAGAGATATCTTGATATGTCCAGATATATCTTGATATGTCTAGATATATCTTGATATTTCTAGATATGTCTTGATATTTCTCCCTTAAATTATGCATCTGCATTAATTATGATGAAAGTATGTTCTGCAAAATCTAATAAATCTGAGAGATTTAATTCGTGATATGTTTGTATACACAATCCATAATATCAATCATTGTAATGTTCCTTATATACAACACACATAGAACTGCAATTCATGCAATTCCTGGAAATCCGATGAATTTCAGCTGCATACAAGAAAACAATGCATGGTATAAAGATCAGCAACGTTATAAAATATCATCAGAACACTGTAGAAATGCTGGGCGCTTTCCGCCTCCTATACACCCGGAAGTGTACAGTATTTAATCTTTGGAAGGGAGGGGGGGGGGGGTAACTTGCTGATTTAAGAAAGGTTTGAGCAAGGTATTATGTACAGCGATAACCAGACAACTCTGAAATAGGAAGACGACTTTAAAACCCAAGTTAGGACTTAAACTAGTTCTTAATGAATATTAGACATAGCAATTGTACAGTGTAAAAAGACCCTGTTCACTTAAATTGTGACTAGTAAAAATATTTGCTTTGTAACAACATCAAAACGGTTAAGTATCGTCATAATGTCGTCTTTTTATTCCATTGTTTTCTGGTTCTCATTGCAATTTATAGGGAGGGGGCACAAAATCCAGTCCCCCCGACATCCTTCGATTGCGATGACTGTAACTGTAAATAGTTTTACTTTAGCAGATGTCTAAGTAATTTTTACGAAAATGAAATCCTTTTCCTGAATAGAACTTCAGAGTTGTATATTTTGGTAGTTTTTTTTTAACGCAGATCTGGGATAAACGATGTTTAAAAGACCTGACTTAAATTTTTTAATGTTTTTTATCTTTTATTTTTGTTGTTAATTAGACCCGTTTTGATTATAAAAATTGTAAAAATTCATTTCTGGCAAATACAGGCTCACAATATTTAAAATTAGTTTGTCAATCAGTCAATTTATCTGTCTACAGCAGTCAATATCTGATCCAATAGGAACTATTAAAATTCTCATTAGAAATATGCCTCAAGGTAGGGAAATTGGGACCGTAATGGGGGGGATTACGATTTGTTGATATGTATTTTATAATAAACAGCTTTAAAAAGTAAATTTAAGATAAAATTATTGTTTACTTACAGGGTGTCCCGCGAAACATGACAGTTGATAAATTTTTATGAATGTCGTCTTCCATTTACAGTACTAGATATTAAAGGCTTTTTGCAGTTTATTTCATTAAAAATTCTTTTGCTCCAATATATTTTACTTTGAAATCAATTTTACTATAACATGACTCCCATGTAATATTTTTATTATTGTATTTGGTATTAAACAACTTCACAAATTATGGAAGAAGACATTTTAAACTATTTACTAACTGTCATGTTTCGTGGGACACCCTGTTGTCTACTCTGTTAAAATGTAATTTTTTTGTTATTTTTTTCATACAGTGGTCTCCACATGCATGAAAACTATGCAAGAACTTTTTAAAACAAGCCGCAACTATGAGGCGCTGTCAGGTCTTTTTCCAATGATTTGATCTTACAAAGCCACTCTGACTGTTTTGAAGACTTTACAGCCAAGAAAATGAAGGTTTTAAAGCTAACATTCAGGATTATATTGGGGTAAAATTCTCTCTAGTTTGTCAAAATGTCCCGTTCTAGTTTAGTTCAAAGTGTCCTGAAAGCTTAGAAGACTCCAGAGGAAAGGGGGGGGGGGAATATTTCCCCCTTTTCTACTAACTATAGAGTTAAAAGACTCCGGGGAAAGGGGATATTTACCACTGTTCTCTAACAATAGAGTGTAGAAGACTCCGGGGAAAGGGGATGGGGATACTTCCCACTTTTCTCTAACCATAGAGTGTAGAAGACTCCAGGGAAGGGGGGGGGGGGTAAATATTTTCCACTGTTCTACTAACCTGAGAGTGTAGAAGGAACAAGACGTTTCCTTCCCTCAATCCTTCTCATTCTTCGTAATTTCCAAACCAAACAGAGAAACAAGAGGAAGAGAACTGCGAACAAATATATATATAGTTAGTTAACATGTACGTATGTACATATATGCAATACATGTACACTGATCGGAGTACATATAAGCAATTGCTTTTAAATTCTGATGAATGGCTTGAAACTTGATTTTCTAATTCTTATATTTTTGCAGCCTGAGGGCGAAAGTTTTGTATGGGATAGCGCTTAGCTTAGCTTTAGCGGCTGCGCTCGATATCCAAAGAACAAATTCTTAAATTGAGGTTTAACGTCGGAAAAACTCTATATCCCTAACACAAACATAAAAAAAATATTCTCTCTATGATTTTGATATTTAAAACAATGAATTCTAGATATTCAAAATATTACAACAGACTAGACTAAAACAGATATTATAAAACTAGAGGTTGGGTACGAGTAATCAGTTCCTCTTAAATTGTATTTTACAAAAAATAGAAGATTTAAGGGTTGAAATTTAAAAATACTGTGAATTTTAAAACATAAGCATTTGAATTTTGTCATAAAAAGCTGTAATCAATAATCCTACTCTGCAATTTTCGGTTTTATTGTTTTAACTTTCTCAGCAAAAAAAAACTATTTTAAAACTAATAAGTTAATCACCTGTAACTGTTGATACAAGAAATATAATGATTAGAACTTCAAGACTCATCAACTCAACATTAGATAAATTTAATAAACTCCGCTCGTTGAAATCTACGATGGCAGCACACATGCAGGTCAACTCGTCCAAGTGCGCGCCTAGAGAACATTTATGAGCTGGACAGGTGCATTCACAACTTGATGGATTCCAAACTTTTCCACTTTCGTAACACTCGCGTCGCTCGTTTGTATTTGTGCACTTGCACGCACATTCGGAGGATACAAATTGCTGGCGCTCGGTGCAGTCTATTGGGGATAGTGCACATGCACATTTACATTCTGTGTGCTCTTCAATTTCTATGCTGGCACACTCCTTGTCACACATACCTTTACAGTTATAATAAATACCAGAAGAATATTAAAATTATTATTAGATCCAGGGACTTTTACATCATATTGTCATTAAAGACAGAGCTTGTATTCCATGGATAAAGATGCGTTTAGATGTGCTTAATAAATTTCTTGAATTGTCTTTCATCTATTAATCTTATGAAATGATAGATAGATATTTCTAAAACTTGGTGAACACTGTTATCAATGAGGCATATGACCTTTTTAATTCAATATGATGTGGGACACACTGTATGTATTAAAGGACGATGATAATATAATAATAATAATAATAACAATAAAAATAAAAATGGTAATACTGAAAATATGGAAAGATTGATTTGTATTCTCGAATAATCTATGAATAATCTTAAACTAAATAATCGTTTTCTTAAAATAATATCATTATCTTACCAAGTGAAATACCACATTTAGCAACCAGGACCGGAACTCGAAGTTTATGTACAGTACTGGGTAGACAGCTTGGCTCTAGTGGTGTACATCCTCCTGTACACTGTTTAACCAGTACATGAGTCGGGGTCATCTAAAAAGAAAATAATCGAGGTTGCGTGATAATTCGAGGTTTCGTGATAAGCAATTCTCTGCTCAAGACACTACCCTGAGAAAAATGTAATCTTCTGAAATCTAGCGTCGTGTTTATTAAGTTTTTGTCAAAACTAATGACTTGAGATGTTTGTTTGCCTGCGATAGTCCATATTCTTCAACGTTTACGCACTTGCTGTTTTCCCCCGTCAATTCCTGATACGGTTACCAGTTTTTTCTGACCTTATTTTCTAAATGTTTTTTTAATTTATTCTCAAGTGTTGCCTACTTTTGCCTGTTTTATGAAGAGTAATACCAAAACAGTAAAAAAATCTATGTTAAGATACATTAAATTCTGTAAATACGTCCTCATAAAATAAACTTTATGATACAAAAGATATTTTATATATAAACGTTAATTTCTTTTACCATTTTTCAGTTATATGCTAATTTCGTTTGAGAAATCCTTACATAAAACAATTTTCACATGTCCACTACTCCACTGCTCCTCAACTCCTCTGCACTCCTCTACCCTTCTACTCCTCTACTCCTCTGCTCCTCTACCACTACTTAAATACTACTCTGCATGTTTAATGTTTATATCTTTTTTTTCCCAAGTTTATTATCTTTGCTGTGCACTACTCCGATTCTCAGAACTATAAATATAAACCAAACCAACCATAAATATATTTTAAAATTGGATTAGATTTCTATTTCTGTTTTGTTGAAATTCTTGTCTGTCCTCTCTTCCCTTCACTGCTCTGATCAACATGTTTTCAAATTTTCACTGTAATTCTGTTATTGATCTAGTTTCTGCCCTTCTGTCTTTTATCTGGTTTCTCTCATTTTATCTTTAATCTGGGTTCTGTCTTTCTGTCTTTAATCTAGTTTCAGTCTTTATGTCTACAATCGGTGTCTGTCTTTCTGTCTTTAATCTGGTGTCTGCCATTCTGTCTTTAATCTAGTTTCAGTCTTTATGTCTACAATCTGGTGTCTGTCTTTCTATCTTTAATCAGGTTTTTGTCTTTCTGTCTTTAATCTGGTTTCTGTCTTTTCTTGTCTTTAACCTATTTTCTGTCTTTAATCTGATTTTTACTAAACCATAAATTCAAAACTTGGTTTCATAGTTTCGCATGAGTTCTAGATTTTTTGTTGAAAAGAGTCACGGTCCTTTAATTTTACAAGAGTACATAGCTAAGATCCTGTAGGTATGAAGCAAGATTATGTGTGGGAGAAGGGGGGGGACATTCTCCACCCCCACCCCCACTTAACCCACCCACTTTGACTTTACTTTTGATTAAATGGTTAGTTTTACCTGTTGTATATCTGTATGATTGGGCCAAGGAAGCTGAACAACAACATCTCTAGGCTCACATCCTGCAATCAAACCAAGAGATGACCGGATATGATCCTTGGAGCACTGCGCTGGATCCATCCCGGACCCTGAGTTGACCCCAAGCATGGCTAGTACTATCAGGAGAAGAAACATCCTGGGTTTAATCCAACCTCACAATATATCACGGAGCAGCGGGGAAAATGTATTTAAGATATTGGCTCTCATATTCCGGGTTTAGGTGGATATGTATACTAGGAATAGAATACACGGTAAGGGGTACAGGTTGATGTATACAAGGTGATGTAACTACACTGATACAGGAACTAGAGAAGGGAGGCCTGGGATGCCTGAGTAGGACTGGACGGTACAACTACAGAAGGGATGCCTTGGCCTGATTAAGACGCAACGGTACAACTATATTTCAGAGTATTGTAGAGAAGGGTGGGACAGCTTGGTAGATGAGGATGGAAGTGAGAGGGTGGAAAATCGAGGAGGGAAGGGAAGGGGGAGAGGTGAGGAGGGAGATACGAGAAGGGAGAACGATTTTAAAGAAAATGAGAAAAGACAAACAGAGCTCCATTCAAGTGTTTTGCGTATACTTTATAATGTGATGAAAAAAGAATTTCTTGGCATTAAGAATTTAAACTTCACAAACATGGCTCTAAAACATGGGTCTAAAACAAACTTTGGCCTGAAATTGAAAATGGGCAAATCCTTTACAATAAAACGATAAACAACTTAATCTATATATTTCTGTCAAATTTTCTGTAAATAATTAGATTTGGAAGAGAGAATCGATTCTTCCTTAGCTTTAACGCGGTTGGTACAAAAGAACTATTCACTTGTCACAAAACTCTCATTTTTAATCTTTATATCTTTTTAACCTGATGTCTTAGACCTTCGAGTATTCCAACTCTAAATTCTGCTTGATAAAAGAGTTTAAAATATCAGATGTTTACATTAGCTGGCTAAACAATATCTGAGTTTAATGTGAGTTATCAGTTCCTTTAGAATAAAATTATTAAAATACCTGTTTTAGATAATTTTTACCTAAACTATTTTATTTCTGACTTTAATTACTAAAACCCTTTGTTATAATAATAATGAGATTGTTTAAATATTCTAAACTGGTGGTTCCATGTTCCAAGTGTGTATAGAGTTTGTTTAGTTTTTGTCATGCTCTCAATCCTATAGAACTCAGGCTTCCTTTTCAGGCATATAGAGGTACTCGGCTTAAACATATCTGATTTCTGGTGTGAAAAGAATATAGTGGGGAGGAGGGGGCAGGTGAATTGTAAAAAGAGAAGGTGGGGGGCGGGTTTAGGATGGTTTACAATGGAAGACAGTTTTACCACGGACGGAGGATTATTATACATTAACAATTAACTTAAACAAAACCTTCTAATTTCTTCTTCGCGTGGAATTTACTCTGATTTGCGTGATATAACCTAGCAGCACTGTATTTTATTCTAATTAAGGTTAGAGAGATAGATATATTTGCCATGAGACTTGCAGTTGTGTTGAAGGGTTAAAGAAAGGTTCGATGGTGGGGAACGTGATTAGGTTTAAATTCAGGTTTAGGGGTACAGGTCTAGGTTCAGGTTCAGTTGAAGGTTCAGTTGAAAGTTCAGGTTCAGGTTCAGGTCCTGGTTAAGGTTCAGGTTCAGGTTCAGGTTCAGCTTGAGGTTCAGCTTGAGGTTCATCTTCAAGTTCAGGTTCGGTACGTATAGCTTTGTAGTCTGTAGGTTCAGGATAAATTTCAGCTGCATGCTTAGGTTCATGTTCAGGTTCAGGTTCAGGTACAAATTCAGGTACAGGTACAGGTACAGGTACAGGTTCAGAATCAGGCTAAGGTTGAGGTTCAGGTTCAGGTATAGGTTGAGGTTCAGGTTCAGGTATAGGTTGTGGTTCATAATCAGGCTAAGGTTCAGGTTCAGGTTCAGCTACGTATAGCTGTAGGTTCAGGACCAATGTCAGCTACATGTCCAGGTTTAGGTTCAGCTGCAGATTAAAGTTCAGCGCTGCATTTACAACAAAAGATTGAGTTTAAAAATGGTGTCGGTACCCGGAGAAAATTCAACCTGGTTCAAAGGAAAATATTTAAAATCTTGAAGGGTGGGTTGGTCAACAGTTTACACAGTTTAAAGAGGTTCTTAGAAAAAAAGGGTGGTGCACTGAAAACACCTAGAAAGACCCTCCCCTTCCCTGTTATATATTTAAGCTCATCTAAAAAAAACTGTGTTCTCCAATGTTGGACAAACATCGTTTTCTGCTATAATAGAATGTGTCAAAAAAGACGTCAAACTAAAAAACCTTTTAAACAGTTCTTCTATCATAAACAAAGAAAAACTTGATTTTCAACTTTTTAGCGCTGAAATTTAGCAGAAATTATGGCGCGGTGCTAAACGCAATTATTCGCGGTGTAAATGTGTAAAAATTATGTTTTATTATTGCACGTGTAAATACTCAACATTAGTTATGGAGGAATGGAAGGAGGAGGGAAGAATCGGGGAGGGGAGGGAAGAATTGGGGATGGGAGTGAAGAATTGGGGAGGGGAGGGAAGAAATGGGGAGGGGTAAAAGTAAGGAAAAGTAAAGGAATGGAAATGACTGGTAGGCATCATTGCCTCTCACATTTGCCAAAAGAAGAATTGCTAAGGCAGGCAAAGTGTGAAATATGTTAAAATATGTTTATTTGGCGAATGTTTATCGCATTAGTTTCAGTGGATGCATTTTTGCTCTGTTTTGCATATATACAATATACAATATACAATATACACAATAAAATGAGGAAGTGTAAACCTCTTTAAAACAGAAACTGTAGTAATATACGACCGCAATTAAAGATGACCATACCTGGATCAAAATGCAACAAATTATTGAAAATTTATTTAGAAAATTTGAAAGGTGTGTATAAATCCCCAATACAGCTGAGATTATTCTTAATTATGAGAAACTACCCTAGAAACCCAGCTTTTCCAGGAGTTTTTAAGTTCCCTATAAAAGTCAACCCACTCAACTTAAAATTTTTAAACCGTGGCTAAGAACATTCTCGTGATTCCTCCGAGTTCCCCAGTTAAAATTTGAGGTAAATCAGTCCAGGAATTCCTGAGTTATGATCTGACATCCAAACAGACAAACAGAGATCACTACTTTATACATATATATAGGCAAGGAATACCCACAAGGATTGTATCTATCTATGTATACCCGCTCCGGTCAAGGTAGGCAGAGTACTGTCAGTACAGGGGTATCCCAATAAACACGGATATCAACTGATAACTTCAATTCATTATTATTATTTTGTAAACATCATAGTATCAATGCTGAAAAAATTAATACCGAAAACTACGAGTTCGGGATTTCCAGAATGTGGTTCACCATTTTTGAGCCTTCAAAATTAATGTAAATATTAAGAAATTTGTCCAGATTCCAATTTGCCAAAAAAAAACCTGAAATATCTTTACTTTATAGATACAAAAAGAAAGAGCAGACATCGCACAGTACGAAATAATGCATATTTTCTTCAACTTGTGAGAAAAAAATAAGAAAAAATGAAGAAAAACTAGTTTTTTGCTCCAAGAAAAACAAAATCATGTAGAAAACGTATATTTGCACTAGAACCAGGAACCTCTGACCCTTTAGTAAAAGTAAATTCAATTTTAAGTCTGACCGCGTCAACCTTGTTGCACCGTCTAGTTCTATTAAGTGTCTGCTTTATAAACCCAATGTTCAGGCGATACAGTACAAACTAGGATCGGAAAGGCTGACCCGACTCAGAAATTCAAATGTACTACGACTGCCCGTGGAATTCGCATTAAAGAAAAACCTTTAAATTATCCATGTTGCAGAACAGGGCATAAAACAACTGAAAAAGTAGATGAGGATTCGTACAAAATGATTTGACCGAATTACATCATTTTTGTCATTGAAGCTATAAATATATGATAGTTTAAAAAACAAAAACAAAAAATTAAGGAAAATAATTCATCATACAGTTAGGCCCTAAATGAGCCAAACATCGAAAGAATTTATAAAATGTCGTCTTGACAATTTTTAATTGGGTTTTATACTATTTTACGTAAATCTCAGTATTTGCGAACATAAATAAATAGCCATGCATATGCGGGAACAGTTTTAAAGAGGTCCATATAATCATTTAATTAAAAAATTTTTGTTGAAAATAGTTTAAATCTAGGTCATGTACAAAATTGATAGGAGGGGGGGGGGGCTTTGGGGGGGTCCAAAAATCGTTCACTAGGACGGACCCCATTTTTCTTCTTCTCAATAGCTATGCTATAAGAGGAGTTATGAAGGAAAATAATAAGATTTGAATTTAACGTGTAATTAACGTTAGTTTGACGTGGCCTGATAAACTATATTCCTTGAAACCCTTGAAGACAAAAGGTATTATTTTACGCATTAATCCTACCCTACTAAAAAAGCGTATCCAAAAAATAGGATTCAAGTCACCATCAACTTTTATTTTTTTAATAATAATCTGCTAAACGGATTTACGACTATTTAGTTTTCACTATAGTTTCAGTAGAAGAAAATATTTCCATTAAAATTTAAGTGTATAGCGCCGATATAAGGATTTATCTCTGATTGGATAATGAGATAGATAGAAAGATAGATGTTACCGCCATACTATTTCTATTGGTTCAGAATAGACAACAAACACATGACGGAACTCTGATTGGATCTGGCGCTAATGGACTCGGCATACTAGAGTGTATTTATTAATAAAAACTGTAGACCACTCTAGAAATGGATCTAGGATCACTTAACACTATACGTAACAGTCCCAACTTTATGGACTTCGACATACATACAGTGATAACAAGAAACTCTGAAATAGGAATACGACTTTCAGAATCAAGTTATAACTTTAAAAAGTCCAATTAGCTTAAGTTCAACAATTTTGTAGTGAACACACACAGACCGATTGCACTGAATAGGGGATTTCAAAAAGTGTCTAGTATTAATAATTACAACAACATCAAATACACTTAAAGGGAGTGACCAGTGGTAGTTTAACTGAGAATGTAGTATCGTGGAGAAATTTTTAAGGATTCTAAATGAATATAAAACGTTTTAATTGTGTATAATTACTGATTTTGAGCGCAAAGTCGACGTTCAAAATCATACATTTGGGTGGTTACGTTAAAGAATCGATTTTTTAAAATTATATTAAATAACGACGACAAAAAATGTAAAAAAAATCCTACAGTAAACTAAATAAATGTTTAGAATATATTTCTCAATTTAAATTTTCTAAATAAATCAGTGTTAGAATTAATTATTTCTTTTTATCATTATATGAATTTCTTCTTCTTTA